TCCTGAATGTTCCCCAGGCCATCCCAATGTACAGCTCTGGGTGACAGTCACTTGGCTCAACAGGCCACACAAATGCATCCTCAGGAAGCAGAGTCAGGACACTCCATTCTGTCCCTCCTTCAACCAATGGAGGGTCCAACCAGGATCGGGACAAGGAAGGCAACCAAATATTGACCAGGCTACCCAGCAGTTTCTCTTGCAGTTGTTAGATGCCTGTCAGCAGGAACCAAGGCAACATGTGCCTTTGTTTTCATCCAGGAGAGAGACGGCTTGGCTTTGCTCTGCATTGGCATCTCATTGTGTCTCACTGGTTCGAAATGGGTAAGGAACACCCATTACAGAACCAATTTTGAGGGCACATGACGGAACTATTGTGATTGGCTTAGTAATGCTTCTCAAGATTTTATTGTGGCAGGTATTACCAAGGAATCTTGTGAAAATGCAGATTCTGATTCAGTAGGTCTGGCCAGGGGCCAACATCCTGGATTTCTAAAAGTCCTGAGTGATTAGAATGGCAATTGAGGTCAATTACAATGTCCATCTTAACTACCAAGCACACAAGATATTTTTATTAGCTGAGGAGCACATTCTTTCCTTGTAGGTAAATCTAAAGAGAAGACAATTAGAATCAGAAGTGCTTAATGAGCATGGCGGATTGCAAAGCATATGTGAAGGCACAGAAGGAAGAAACTGCTAGCCATACTTTGGGAATCATGAGCTAGACAGGAGATCAGAACATAGGCAGAGCCACATCACCAAAGGATTAGGCTTTAATCTGTTAGGGTTTATATCTAGCTGTCCCCCCAAAACCTCATGCCCTCATGGGTGGGGCTTTTGAGAGGGTCTGGATCATGGCCATGTGGAACTGGATCAGTCCACTGATTGGTTTAGCATAGTTCTGGGTGTGGATGATGGACTTACTGAAGAGGGAAGGCCCACGCTGGTTTTAGGTAACACCAACCAATGGGCTTACAGCCTGGATGGAATAAAAAGAGAAAGCAGGAGGAAGGCCCTGCTGCCTCCTCCCACCATGCCATGGACTGTTTCTCCTTGGCCATGCCTGTCTGCCAGGCTGCTCTACCTTGGAAACAGCTGACTATGGACTGAAACCTCTACGAACTGTGAGCTACAACAAACTTTTTCTCTAATTCGTGGGTGTTGGGTATTTTGTCTCAGCAACAAGAAAGTAACTAAGACAATCTGTGTCCCGCTCAACACAAAATCATAAGAGGCTGTGAAAAAGGTTTCTAGGGTCTGATTTGGTTGAGAAACACTGCACACACTATGTCCTTTACTTAGACATTTACAATGCCTATTTTGGTTTTAAAGACGCTAAGAAGTCTACTGACAGTTAAACAAAACAAAGAAACAAATAAATACCTTTTCTCACATAGAGCTAGTACCTCATAGCCAAGACCGGCCATATAAGTTGTGGAGCTCAGTGCAAAATGAAAATGGAAGGCTGCTTTTCCAAAACCATTAGGACTTCCTAGATGGTATCAAGAGGATGAAGACAGTGCCAGAACCCTTCTGAGTCAGACTCTGTACAACTTTCCATAAAGTAGGGCCTGCTCATGGGAAGACCCGGAGCACTGACTGAGGCACTATATGGAATGTGCTTATTTACTGTAAGCAACAAATAGTGACCATGGTATACATACAGCTTTTAGTTAGGACTCTGGGTTGTAGCAGAAGGTCACTTCATCTAGCTTCAGCAGAAAAGCAGAGTTCACTGCAAAGATCTAGGCGTGTGTCTCAGCCTCCAAGCATAGAGGTAGCCAGGCAGGCACTGAAGAGAACTGCTGTCAGGGCTTTCTCTTTCCACTCCACTTTTCTCTACGGAGTCCTATCTTTAACATATGGGAGGTCAAACCCAAAGCACCCAGGTTGTTAGTCTTCTCAGGGGAGGGAATCAGGCCTCTCAGCCCCAACTCCATATTCTGAGGGATGGCCTCTAAGAGGTCCACCTATTTTCTTTTCTTTTTTTTTGGTACCAGGGATTGAACTCGGGACCTTGTGCTTGCGGGGCAGGCAGCAGAACCACTGAGCTAAATCCCCAGGCCCAAGGTCCACCTATTTTTACCCCAAGTAAGCAACTACGTATAAAGACTCCTTGGCAAACTGTGTATATTCTAAGACTTCCCACACTCACTTGATTGTGTGACATTCCGTTTCTATTTCAGCCCACAGCCCATACTGGGAAGCGAACCCTGGGCCTTTGTATAGAGCGACATCCCCAGTCCTTTTTTTCATTTTATTTTTGAGACAGAGTCTCACCAAGTCTCCAAGTTGCTCAAGCTGGGTTCAAACTTGCAATCCTCCTGCCTGAGCCCCTCAGAGTGCTGAGATCAGAGGCAAGCACCATCATGCCTGGCTGTGGGACAGTTTTTTGTTGGTGGTGTTGCAGGAATACCTATTAACACTGAACAGTGGACACCTGGGAAATGCTTGGTGCGTGGAGTGAGCAGAACTGCTGGGAAGAGGGCAGACTGGAGACTTGGAAGGATGATTACAGCTTCCTTAGAAATCCAGATCTAGGAAACAAGGCCTGTATTAGCAGGAAGACAAAGAGACTAGTTTTTTGTTTCTGGGTTTTTTTGGTTTTTTTGGTACCGGGGATCGAACTCGGGACCTTGTGCTTGTGAGACAGGCGACAGAACCACTGAGCTAAATCCCTGGCTCAAAAGAGACTGTCTGCAGAAATATTTAGGAAGTAGCCCAGTGTGGTAGGCGCACCTGTAATTCTTGCACTCTGGGAAGCTGAGGCAGGAGGACTGGAAGTTCCAGGCCAGCCTGGGCTACTAAGTGACTTAGTGAGTGCCTGTCTCGGAAGTGTGTGTGTGCAAGTGTGCGCGTGCGGGGTGGGGTGGTGAAATGTAAGGTTTGGCAAATTATCTCTGTGGAGAGCTGGGGATAAGAGAAAGAACAAAACAAGGATGGTTCAGAGGAATTACTTGGGGACTCAATAAAGGGCAGGCGGCATTACCATCGTGGAGATGGTGCAAGAGCTGCGTGTGATTTTTACTTTGAGGCATTTGGTGACAGGAAGAATGGTCAAGTGGAATTATCTAGAGGCTGGATATTTGGGGTTAAGGTAAAGGCTCAGATGGTGCCATGGTTTCAATGTATCTCCAGAAGTTAATGTGTTCCCAATTGAATCCCCAATGTAACAATGTTGGGAAGTGGACAGGTGATTAGGGGGAGAGGGTTCTACCTTCATGAATGGATTCTCATTATCAAAGGAGCGTGTTCTCGTAAAGTATCTCCAGAGTGGGTTGTTCTAAAACAAGATCAACTAATGCAGGATGAGACTCACCTGTAATCCCAAGCACTCTGGGAGTTGAGCAGGAGTATCAAGAGTTCCAGCCCCGCCAGAGCAATTCAGTGACACCACGTCGTGAAGGAAAAAAAGTACAGGGTTAGGGATTGTAGCTCAGGGCAAAGGCCCTGGATTCAATCCCTAATTCCAAAAGGCAAGTTCAAAGCCAGGTGTGGTGGTGGATGCCTGTAATCCCAGCACTCTGGAGGCTGAGGCAGGATTGCCTGGAGTTCAAGAGCTCCAGGCCAGCCTGGGCTACATAATGAGTTCAAGGCCAGCCTGAATTGCATAATGAGACTCTGCCTCAAAACAAAAACAAAATAAAACAAAAAAGCAAGTCCAGGCCCTCCTGCTCTTTAGCCCTTTAGCATTACACCACGGAATGACACAGCTCCGTGCCAGACAATGGCAACTCCATATTCGGACTACCCAGCCTCCAGAACTGTGAGAAACAAACTGCTTTATAAATTACCCAGCCATTGTTCTGTTAAAGCAACACAAAACTAAGATCCAGAGATGGATTTCCAGATCAGTTATGTTTGGAAATGGAAAACTGAAGTGCTCGTGCGCTTCAACAAGACAAAACACAAGGTCCCCACCCTCCTGGTTGGGGGCCCATGGTTGCCGAAGGACGACCTATATTTCATCAAAGCCACGAGTGGGGCCCTGGACGTAGAGAACGTCAGAAGAACTGGGGCTGTGAAACCACCAGGCACAAGTTCCATCTGGGCCTTGCACGCCCACATCACGGCGCGGGCAGGGGAGCCACTGCTACTCTGTACATTCCCGAGTAGGAGGCTGCGCCTCACCAGGGCAGGAGTGGAAGCTCCAACCAGCTGGTAAGCTGGGGAGGAGACGGCGTCCCGCCTGCGACTGCACCGCTGGAGACGCGCGTTTCGTTTCCTTTGTGCTCGGTCCTGGCCAAGCACAGGAGCCCACAATTTGCTGAGAGCTGGCTCCGCCTGCGCAGGGAGCAGCCACTCGCAGGCGGTCCGCGCAAGGGGTGCAAACCTTCACCGCCAAAGGCATCTCCAGTACCTACGCAAAGGGTGAAAACTAAAGGCCTGGGTTAAGACCCAGCTGCTGTGGGTGTCAGCACCCCGGAAGCGAAATGCGCGGAGCAAGTACGCCGAAAAGCGGGGCGCGGCCACCTGCCCAGGCAGCTGGAAGAGAACAATAAGCCACCCGGCAGGAAGCGGTGGGTGAGCCGCTCGGAAACTCGGGCCCCACGCGGGAAGTCAGCGGGACGGACGCTGCGTCCGGAAACTCCACGCCTGCGCCGTCCCCCCGGGCGCGCTCCCGCCAGGCGCCGCCGTCCGGCCCGGGCAGCGCGCGAGCCGCAGGGGCCGAGACCTCGCCGCGGGCCCAAGGTGAAGCCGGGGAGGGCGTGCCAGAGGGGCGGCCCGACGCGCGCGCGCTACGGTGCGGGGAGCGTGCGCAAGCGCAGAGCCGCCGGCGGCCAGTGCCCGAGCGCGGGAGAAGGGACGCGATCCACTGAGGGCGCCGCGCCGGGGTGAGTGCCCCCCCTTTCTCCCGGAGTGCCTTGCGCGCGCCCGGTGGGCGGGGGACGGAGGGAGGCAGGGCCGGCGGCGGCGGCGGCAGCCATGTTGTTGTGAGTCTGTCTCACCCTCGGTACCGCGGTGGTTCGGAGGAGGAGGGGCGGAGAAGGAGGTGGGGTGGGGGGAGGGAGGGAGGAGGAGAAAGAAGACGTTGCCGCCACCGAAGGCGGAGGAGGGGAGCCGGCCTCGAGCGACGCCGCCGGTGCCCAGCGGTCGGTGTTCCGGCTGAGGCGGCGCGGTTGCAGCAGCCCTGTAAGTCGGCGCCGCTCCCTCTCCGGTCCCGGCGCCGCGGGGCTGCCCCGGGCTTTGTGCGGCGGCCGCGCCGGGCGCGGTGGGAGCGGTGGGCCTGCGGGAGCCGCGCCGCTGCGGCCTGGCGGCGCACAATGCGGGGGAGGGGAGCGGAAGGGGTGTGCGCGGCGGGCGGCGGGCGGCGGGCGGTGTCGCGCTTTCCCGCTTTCCCGCTTTCCCGAGTCCTCCCGCCCGGCCCGTCTCGGCCCGTCTCCCTCGCTGTGGCTCGCGCGGCCGCCGACCGAGCGCCTGTCCGGCCCTAGCGCGCGAGCTGCCCCTCCGGGGGCGGGAAGAGCGGGGCCTCGGGACTCGGCCTGGCCGCCGTCGGGAGGACGGCTGTGTCTACCCTGTTAGAGGAACCGATTTCGGTAGTCGGGAGAACGTGTAAAATACAACCAGCATCTTGAACACTAGCTTTTTTTTTTTTTTTATATCTGAATTGGGTCAAATTTTGGGACGATAAATTGTGTAAAGTTTCATGCCCAAACACGTGCGTAAAAGTTTAGTGCTAACAACTTCTGAGAACACAGCTAGAGAAGAGCCACATTTCTTACCAGCTTTTCTATCACATTTAAATTTTGGGGGAAGGAAACGTCAAGACTTAATACTTTGAGATTTTTACTTAACCAACTGGCAGAATTTTTTGGTGAAGGTATTTTTAAGGGAAAGGCCTTTTAAATGCTTAAGAGAATTGTAATACCTATACTGATATTGTATGTCAAGCCAGCAATATAATAGATGCGAGTTACCTTGTTTACTGCTTAGATTCGTGTTTAATAGGTGACTCCACCATGTGACCTGGAATATTGAAGTATGATTTAAGAAATTTTGGCTAGGAATCCTGTTAAAAAATAACTAGGATGAGTATTTTAATTAGTTAGAGTCTCTTCTTAGTCTTGTAAGTGATCTTTGTCATGCACAGTCATAAATTATTCCCTATCGGAATAATTTCTTTAAAATTCCAGTTTTTGCTGAAATTGAGTTCCATAGAGCAGTATCTTGTACACAGAAAAAGTTATACTTTAATTTAAAAATTAAAGTTATATTTCAGAAACCTGCTTCTTAGACTTAGTTCTTGTAATTTTGTATGTTCTTTGTGCACAAATCCTAGCCATTTTTACCTTCCAGGGAGATTTGTCATTAACAAATTTAAGCATCTTCAAGCAGTTTAAACTTTGTTTTAATACATAGTTTCCTTTTTTCTTATTTGCAAAATTCTTACTTGTTTCAGTATTTAGTAAGATTTTAAAGTAACTTTTTAAAAGAAGCTTCGTTTAGTTAGATTTAAATTAACCTTACAAGGTTGTCATTTTAGGCCAAACCTTCTTAGGCACTACAAGTGTATAAAATGCAACCTTAACACAGATGATAAATAATATGTGAATTTTGTTTCTCTTCATGTGTCAATCTTTTTGGTGTTGAAAGATAGTTTGTCTCCCTGAGTATGTACTTATTCAACATAGCAAAAGTAATTATGATCAGAGATTTGCAGCAGGTGTGACTTCCAAAGACCGCCTTTCCGGGTGATCAGGTACCCCTCCCTCCCCCCACCCCCACCCAGATGCTGGGGATGGAACCTAGGGCCTTGTGCACATTGGGCCAGCGCTTCATCACTTAGCTGCTCTGCTTCTTTTTTTTTTTCTGCTTCCCTTTTGTAGCCACTGACAGCTTCATAATTTTAAGTGAAGGTTGGCTTCTATCTTGTGGACAAGATCCTATCTTGAATTCTACATCCTTCCGTAATAAAGAGTTGTGAGTTTCTAAGATACGAAGTTTTTTCATATTCTTAAAATTTATGGATATTTAAAATACAGTATCTGAATATTCCTTTATGTGATTTTATCTGACTTGGATTCACAGCTTGAGGCTATTTTATTAACAGGTGTGATTAAGATAGAAATTACACTTACACCTGTGTAGATTGGTTTGCAACATTAAGTAGATTTCTTACAACTTGTAAGAAGGCCTAAAAACAATCTGACTGGCTCCTTATTGTCCTTCATTCTTCTATTTGGTGAATTTGTAAGAAGGAATTGATCAAATTTGGCTGAGGCCCTTCCTCTTTCTCTGAGAGTCTTCTCTGTCCATAAAGTACTTAATTTGTTCTTGAGGCCCCCGGAGATAGACTGCCTATTTCTAGAGGAGTGGATAGTAGTTGTCCAGTGATAGGAGGGACTCGGTGAAGATACTTCGTAGGGTTTGGTAGTATTGGAAAGCTCTCTTGGTCTAGCTCTAAATTATGCCTTCCAGTAGTAAGAAGACCTTTGGCTTACCATAAATCTATCTCGTGTCTCTCACTTAGTTTGGTTAAAAAAAAAAAAAAGTTTCTTCAAACCCTGTAATTTAGAATCCATTGTTTTAATAGTGATTTTCATATTTGACAATATGGATAAACAGTTTTCCTTAAAATGTATTGCTTTTGTAGTTGAAAGTGAATTTACTGAGATTTTCAAGCTTTACTAATGAGTGCAGCACTAGAACTATCATATAGGTAGGTATATGAAAAATGCCTTTTCTCAGATTCAGGTAACAGTATGTTTAGAGACAAAGTTAGTATTTTTTCTTCCAGTAACTGAGAAGATTGAACTTTATGAATGAAAAATTAAGATTTGCGTAATTAACAAGAATCACCTTCCATTGAGTCATTTTCATTCTTAATGAAATGAAACTATAGACAGTTAGCTTTCATTGACTTACTAGTGCAGGGTTTTTGTTTTGTTTTGGTTTGGTTTTTGACCCTTGCCTGGCTTTTTATATTCTTCTAAAGCATTTTACAGAATTTAAAATGATTATTTAAGATGTTGGCAAAAAGATAGTTTTAGTATGTTCTACTCTGCAAATTCAGTTACTGTAATCCTATTTTCATGTTACATAAGGCTGATTTTCATTTATCTTATTGTTTTCTTGTAGAGGGGTGAAAGACTTGAGAGAACTGAGAATGTGTGTATGTGGGTATCATTGTAGCTGCCAGGTACAAAAAAGGAAGTATCAAATGTGAAAGAAGGAGGAGTTGAAGTGTCAGAGTATTTTGATTGACTGCAAATGGAGCAGGGAAAAAAATGTCATCCCTTACTTGGAGCAAGGTGCAGGTTTGGACCACAGTAACTTGCAAAATTTGTTTTCCAAAGGGATTTGGTGCATTGGCTATCCCATGACACTACAGAGCCCCCCGGTCAGCACTCCCTAACTAGGGGAGTAGAACCTGCAATTGACTGCTAAGGTACCTGCAGTGTGGTGGTTGGATTGGGGAAACAGGAGGATTATTTACCTTTTTTTCAGTCTTGAAAAAAACCCTAATAAATATATGCGAGACCTGATTTGAGGATAGATCTTTGTGACTTCTATTTTAGTAGTAGACCTGTGAAAAGCAGCACGTTTTAGATTTTTGTTTTGTTTTGTGTTTTGAGATAAGGTCTCACTGTGCAGTTCAAGCTGACTTTCAACTCTCTAGCCCAGGCCTGGCCTCAAATTCACAGCAATCCTCCTGCCTCAGCCTCCAGAGTGCTGGGACTACAGGCTATGCCACTGCATTTGGCAAGTTTTAGACCTTTAAGTGGTGATCTTTGATTTTGGGCAGTTTCTGATAAGAATCAGTGAGGAAGCTTTAACTAAGATTAAATTGGTTTGATTCATTCAGACTTCGAGGTAAATGAGCAGTAGAGGCAAAGTGACCCTAAGTACAGGGCTTTACTAGGCAATCAAAATGAGGAATTGTAGGTAGAGAAAAATAGGGATTGTACTGTATGATGTTAACTACCAAAAATTATATACACTTAGGACTGCCTGAACATCTGCATAGTACTTTATCAGCATTTTAAATGTGATTTTAAGTTTTCTGTGGTAAAATTGATTCTTTAACATCAATTCAATGTAAACAATTAAGTTTTGAAGTTAAGAGAGAAATGATGACTGGGTTTTCACCTACAGGTTTTTTGTAGAATATCTTTGCATTGAAGTGTAATCGATTGGTTTTCATCTAATGGAGAATGTGGATCCTGCACCCGCAAAAATAGGAGTTACCCTAGCATCTTGCTAAAGATAAATTGCCAATTTTTACCAGGATTCCTGCTGAGAAAGTACTGCAGTATTCTTGAAGACTGGTCAGTATATTTGTTAGTCTGTTCAAAGTTGAATCTTTTCATCAAGCTAGACTACTAGAAACTTCCACACAGTTTCTTTGAAGGCTGCAGGCTTCTTGTCCCAGACTACCCTCACATGTTGGTGAAAACATAGTTCTTGTTCTTGAGGAATTTGCATTAAGGTGCAGAGAAACAGGATTAAACTTGTAGTGCCGTACACTCACTAACTGCCCTGGAGATGGTGTTATAAAAGTACTGTGGACTCATGGTGGTAGGGAGCTTGGGGGTCAGGAAAAACTTTCTGCAAGAGATAAAGTTGAATCTTAAAAGATTTAAAGAAGTTAATTTAGTTAAGAGATGGATGACATGACATTCAGGCAGAGGGATTACAATAGTAAGTCTAGTGACCCTGATGGGGGAGAGTAGCAGAGGGTAAGTGCAGGTGTGAGGAGAATCAGTAGAGGATAGGATTGTCGAGACAGCCCACCACAATGATGGGCTTTCCCCAGAATAGACAGCACTAAAGACTTTGGGTATCAAGGGCTACATCTAAAAAGATTTGTACCATATTGCCCAGGGACTTTTACATAATCATCATGAAAGTGTTTGCTTTGATTTCCTTGAGAGGCTAAAAGAAAATATGAAACCTTGCATCTGTTACTGGATTGTTGTTGAAGATACAACTCTGTTCTTCTGTAACACCCATGTAAGAAATTTCTTTGAGAGCATAGTTTAAGGAATAAGGTTGCTCAAGGGAAGTGATATAATTTCTTTTTATGGGTAGTGAGAATTGTGTATAATCTGTATTTTTTATTTATCTCTTATCTCTTGCTAAGTAAACTTGTATCTCCTTTGTTTCCCCAAAATTAGTTGATAGTTTGTTGT